AGGGGCACTCACATAAAGAAAGAGCTTTATATCAAGAAGTAATCAGCTACCAAGAAAACATCCCAGCCCAGTACCACTCAAGGCCCTAAGTCCAGGACTAGTCCATAAGTCCCTCTTCAGACTCACCCAGACACATGCACTGATTTAAAACGCAGGGAGACCTCCAGCCGGTGGATGCAAAATCACCTGGATCTAAGGTCAGGGAAAGCATGACAGGGCTCAGGCCGCTCTCAGGTACAGGAGCAGAGAGATGAAGGCAGGGGGTGAGGTGGGGGAGGTCCCAGGGCCCTGCTCCTGAGAAGACCATGCCCCATGGAGGCACCATCAGGCTTTGACCTGATGCCACGCTACACTTGTATGTATCTTTGAGTTGACATAAAATTGTCTACATAAAAGTATCTACCTCATTTCTGGAGCTATCTTACTGAGACATTGTAACTGGGAAAAGTTATTTTTAAGAATATGCCTAAGAATTTGGAGGCATTACTTATACTTTTAATTTGCAAATAAATGTGAGAATTTGTTTTACAAAAGCTTGAAAATAAATCCTAAGGCAGAGTAGGAAATCAATCAGAAACTGTGAAGGAGTCGGGTCAAGGATGGGAGTAGCATTTTTAAAAAGATGCAAAGGGCACATAGAAATGAGGCTATGAAAGGCTGAGGACAAGTATTCATAGCATATATTATCTTCACGACTATGATGCAAAAATACCCCAAAATGAGTAACCTGTTTGTTATACCAAAAGGTCAAGGCAGCATGTGACTTACTTCAACATATTCCCCCACCAAGGCAGTTAAATTAAGAGGGCTGCTTTAAAAATAAGTTCTTAGTTAATGAAGAAAATTAGCTTGAATAATTTTCAATCAAAGGAAACTTGGTGGCACAAAAGTTAAGCACTAGATGACTAAATTAAAGATTGCTGATTACAATCCACTCACCAATTTAGACAGACTGATGATTTGCATACTTAACAAAGAATTCCAGCCAAGAAAAGCCTGTGGGTTAGTTGTACTCTGTCCCTCAGGGCTGCTGGCGGAGTGGTTCAGTGCTGTTAGAATAAATATCACAAGTGAATGGCGTTAGCAAATAGAAATTGACTTCCTCACAGTGAAGGAAGCTGGATATCTGATTTCAGGGTGCGATTAAGGAGAAAGGTTTTCATCCTCTGTAGAGTCTGAGTGAAGTCGTCCTGGTCTCTTCGGCCTGTGTCCTGTTTTTTTGGTGAAATTCAGGTGGGGTGGTATCCATCTTCCACCATCTCTGCTTCTCTTGCTCTTTTCATCTCTTTCAAACCTCAGAAATGACAGATTCAAGATACATTCCATACTAATTCCATCTCATTGCTGTAACAAAGACAACGTATTCCCCTATGGTTTTATAACCACAAGCATGGAGTTTAAGATTTATGACACATATTTTTGAAAGGGGACAAAATTCAATCAATACCATGTGTATGAATCAAAAGCGATTCCCTAGCACTAAAGAAACACAATTTTGAATCTTATACTTGTATTTTATCCATATTTACTTTGTGTTACTTTCTTATTATAATGCCATTGATTAAACAGCTTCATATCACTCATATTTGTTTATTATATATGGTCATCAAACTTTTTGCAATACAGTTATTTTTTATGTAGTAAATTTACAACTGGATGAGGAAATTGCTAAGTAATTCCTATTTAATATTACTGTTTTATTTTAACTAAATACATTTTTTTAATTTATGGAAAGGATAATTTCTGAACTGTAGATCAGAAACATAAAAATAAATACACTTGCGGCCTTTTGGGAAACAGAACAGGGCTAGTGCCTGTACAAATTCAGGTCCTTACTCTACAGAGTGTAAAAGTTATGACTTGTACATGTCACATAGTAAATAAATCTCTAGAAAAATAATGTGGGCTGTTTGTAGAAATCACTCACCATGTTAATATTTTAAATATATTTATTATATTAAATTAAAAAATTAAACCATTCAGGATACTTGATCTTATTTTATTTTATAAACATGTATCATCTTATCCTTAGACAATTCATACAATTAATTGCTTGTGTAAATATATTGGCTAAGGGAGCAGTTTGGAGACCTTCATTAAAGAAATTACCTGTGATAAAACATAACCACCAGTTTTATGATCAAATTAAAACAATTTTCTCCCACATCGCTTCCAAATCTGCTCTCTCCTTTTGGAAGCACTTGGAACAAGCACTGGACATGAAGTCAAGAATTTTGACTTTCAATCTTGGTGTTCATTTGGTTATGTACAATGATAAAGAAAAGGCACATTGTAAACAAGGATCATATGGACAGAGTTATTCATGTGACGATCCTCTGAGCATCTATAATGTAGTCATAAGCTTTGCCATCTACACTTGCACTTGAAGGGGATCAGTTCAAAGACAGGCACAACTTTGAAGTGTGGCCATACCACATATTTGCAATATGAACATTGTTATTTCATTGGCAAAAAAAAAGATTCTTGCCTCCTTTCTGTCTGTAAACCATTAATACATCAAGTATCACCATAGTGAGTTCCAGCTGAAAAGAAATTTCAGGTAAAAAAAAGTAACTAGACTATAGACGAGTCAGTCAGGGTGCAGTGTAGCAATGATGAAACATGCAATTTTCCTCTAGTTCTTGAGTGTTTCCTCCCCGCCACTATCATGATCCCAATTCTGCCTTACAAATCTGGCTGGACTGGAGGATGTGCACTGGTACAGATAGGAACTAGAAACACAGGGAATCCAGGACAGATGATCCCTTCAGTACCAGTGGTGAGGATGGTGATACAGGGAGGGTGGAGGGAATGTGGGATAGAAAGGGGGAATGTATTACAAGGATCTCCTCCCTGGGGGATGGACAGCAGAAAAGTGGGTGAAGAGAGACATCGGACAGTGTAAGACATGACAAAATAGTAATAATTTATAAATTATCAAGGGTTCATGAGGGAAGAGATGTGGGGAGGGAGGGGGAAATTGAGGAGCTGATATCAAGGGCTCAAGTAGAAAGCAAATGTTTTGAGAATGATGAGGGCAACAAATATACAAAAGTGCTTGAGACAATGGATGTATGTGTGGATGGTGATAAGAGTTGTACAAGCCCCCAATAAACTAATTTAATTATTTAAAAAAACTATAGACTCCATTGAGAACACATATAAAGAAACATTTAAATGCTCTTAGTTAACATATACCAGAATATTTTGTCTTTCTCAAAGATTGCTATAAAAATACCATGGAATTGTTTAGGAAACTTTGCTTAAACGAAATCAGTTCACTACTGAAAAATGCTTTAGCTACATCTGCATAGAACTAGAATTAATAATATGTCAGGAGGTTTCTGTTTGCCTGTCAACTTTGTTAAATGGCATCTTTACAGAAAATCTGATAACTTCTTTGTTCCTATTTTTAGTGTTATACCAAGTAGCTTTAGAATTCTGAGGAAGTTTGACTTATGATTAAATGAAGGCTTCCTAGGGAATGAAAACCTAACTGTATTAGAATGTAAGCTACTTTTAATAACATACAGCAGTATTTGTGTTACCTAAGCATATTGCTTTATCTGTAATTATGTCTAAATAACACACAGCTAACCTATTAACATAGTACTAACACCCTTTGTTTTTCCAGTTTTCAAGTCTAATCTTACATACTCAAAACTTTTTTTCTAATATTCTGATGCAAATCGTAACTTAAATGGAATTTTATTAAAATGCACCCTTTAAAAAATACTGTGGTCCTGTAAGAGACGGGTACCCATCTTTCCCACACTCCCCTTGCTTTCTGAGAGCCCAGCGTCACGTGTGCTTTCCACGTCAATAACTTCAGCCAGTGAGAGGAGTCCTTTGGAGACCGACTTGGTTTTAATGGTGTCCAATGTGCTTCTGACTTTCTTTTGTGCTTTGGATTTATTTTATTTCTTTGAACTACAGTTTATTATTATTTGGCCAAGACTATCCATCTTTGTCAATCCAACATCCTCGAATAGTTATAATTAAATATTTTACAAATGATAATTAAGCAATATTATGGCAAAGTCCCTGAGCTGTCACAAATTTGTTAGTAAATGAATTCAATGACTTAAAGCTGAAAGAGATGGTTAAATACGTGAAAAACAGCAAACAGAACATGGAAAAGGCACACAGCCCATGGGAGCGGGTTGAAGAAGGCTTTCTGAACCTGCGTCTTGCCCTGGCACGTGACAAGGAGACCCATCAGAAACACATGTACTTGCATAGAAACCTTTTGTTTCCAATTGAACGGCCGTGTGTTCTCCATCTCTCATTGAGAACAGAAATGAGAGATACATGATACTACTGTTACAAGTAAGAACAGTGGATATGAACGCATGACTGTGATTTCTTTGATAAATAAAACAACTTAAAGCTTTGGTGAAGAGTTAATATTATTTAATTGTCAAAATTTATGTTGATTTCATGTAAGCTTATGTGTTAGAAGACCTATAAAATTTCCCATGTGGTAGAGAAAGAGAAAAAAAATTAATCAGTTTACTACTGAAAAAAGGTAATTTAGGACAAATGTAAATTAATAATTTAAGAATATTTGTGTGTTTATCACGTTTAAAAGATGAATGGTTGGGTAACTTAATGATTAAAATGTCATGATTATGCATCTATCATTATTTTTTTCTATCCAAAATAACTTAGAAGTCAATCTCAGTATAATAAATGGTTTTTGTATTAATTGAATGTTTTTTCATCTTTACAACCCAAAGGCTACTTCATGATATTCTATTTTGTTAAATAATGATAGTCCCCCAAACGGCATATTTTCCAAAAGCATATATCAAGTCCAAGTGGATGCATTGATAGACCTTTCTGTTCATGTTTTTGTTGTTGTTGTTGTTTAATTGTCCTTTGCTGCTTACTGAAATACCAGGTGTGTTGATGACTCCGCAGGCTCTGGGAAGGCTACTGATAGCAAGAGCTGGTGCTCCGGGCTTCTTCTTCTTTTCCCTTAACTATTTATTTCTCAGATATTGACCAGTGGAATAAGGTCATTGAGCAACTAGGAACTCCGTGCCCAGAATTCATGAAGAAATTGCAACCTACAGTGAGAAACTATGTTGAAAATCGCCCCAAGTATGCAGGCCTCACCTTCCCCAAGCTCTTTCCAGATTCCCTCTTTCCAGCAGACTCTGAGCACAACAAACTCAAAGGTATGTCTGAGACAACTCAAACCACTGTGTGGGTGATGGGGGTGCGGGGAGCGGGGATGAGGAATTGGTATCAAGGGCTCAAGTAGAAAGCAAATGTTTTGAAAAGGATGATGGCAACATATGTACACATATGCTTGACACGATGGATGGATGGATGGATTGTGATAAGAGCTGTAAGAGCTCCCAATAAAATGATTCCTTTTACATGTAAACAATGCAGAGCTCTCTCTTTACTTGAGCTCCCTCTAATTAAGGAAAGATTGTCTTACAAGTGTCTTTTACAAGGGCTATGATTGCACATTTTAGGGTTGTCTGCTTAACTATTTCATGGGTTTAACTCTGAAACAGCACATGATTCAGATGGATTTGACAGCAACTGCTTTGTTTGGTATTTAGACTCTCAAAATATTTTAGAAATGTAATTCTAAAAGCTGAATGTATTGTATATTGAGATCATCATTTTAATTTTTATTAGCTGAAAAATATTTTCCTAACAGGTTTTGAATTGTGAAATGTAGGGGTTTCATAAGCCTGCATTTTCTTTAATTTATATTTTATCAGGTCTTGAACACCATCTTTGCAACTGAGAGTGCTAAATGAGATTTCATGCACACAGTTTATATTCCTTATAAACACTCCATTAACAAGAAATTCTTTCTGTATCAATTTTTACAGTAATTAATTTGAGCAACAAATTTGAGGATTTTTTTCATCCACGTCATGGGGTTAAGAATGTCTCAGTCACAGAGTTGGAAAAAATGGAATTCATTTGGAAATGTATAAGCAATAACATTCGAGTTTTATTAATACAGGAGCCCTGGTGGCATGGTGGTTAAGTGTTGGGCTGCTAACCTCAGGATGGCAGTTCAAAACCACAGCCACTTTGCGGGAGAGAGATGGGCTTTTCTACTCCCATAAACATTATAGTCTTGGAAACTCAAGAGGCAGTTCTACCCTGTCCTATAGGGTCGCTATAAGTCAGAATTGACTCATTAACAGGAATCTAATTTTGAAACAATTATTATTTTTCTCCCTATCTGGATTCAAATCCTACTTCTGTTCTTTAAAATCTGTATGATCTTATAAAAGTTATCTAATTCTTCTGTACCTTCTATTACAAATGAAGGTAGAGAGTTGACTACCTTATAATTGATTGGAAGGATTAATAAACAAAATGATTTATCATTAATTTAGAACAGTGCTTCACTTTAATGGCAAATGTGTTCATTTTCTGTATTATCTGTATTATTGATATTTATGTCTACATAAGGAATATAATAATAATCCATTTTATTACTTAAATTGTATTTATATAGAATCAAGGAAAAGTTAGAAAACATGCTTTTGAGATTACGCCCCCACCACCACCATATTTCAATTGGAAATGAGTAAGCACCAATTTATACATCAATACACCCAATCTTCATTTATTGACATGAATAGGTTATAAAACCCAGTTCACTCTATAAAAATCAGCATCTTGTAAAGCTGTGGGATGACCACATCAGATCACAAAGTGCTGGAGGACTGCGTCATTACATCGCTGTCAAACACTGAGATTTGTGGCCCAGCCACCTAGACACACAATCTGAATCATCTCAGCCAGCATTATTCTTGGGTCACACCACAGTACTGTCATTGCCAGATATACTCCATTAATGTCCACAGTAACTAATAAATATTTTACCATTATCACAATTGCTAAATGCCAGATAACAAGATAGTGAATACTTGATGGAGAGGTGTAGTTAAGATAAATTTAAATGAGACAGAAATTCAGTTTATTCTAAGGAATCTCTGAATGGCAATGAACTAAATTACTGCAAAATGGACTGCCTTTAAGATTAACATTGTCTATATACAGACTGGAGAAGAGCTAAATACTTTAAGTAGAGCTTTGACCGAATTCATGTCTTTGTGTAACTAATTGACAAATCAGTCCAAAGTAACCCTTCCTCTGGAAATACTCCTAGTGTCCAGTGGCTCAGTAGGATTGTGTCACCCAATGTGTTCACTCATGGTGTCAATCCCTGACCCCACTCTATTAACTAGACCATACAGAGTTCTTCGTGGTGTTTATTATTAATTTTAATCATAGAAGCATATGATGATTATAAGTCTAATTGTTTAAAGATAGCATTTCTTTTAGTATATGACTACTAACAACATTGTTTTGTAAATTTTTTCTACATTGAATTCCATTATTAATAAAATGTACTATTAATAACTGAGGATAAACCTATTTTGATTTTTCTCATTTTCCCCTTTAATTACACCTTCATTATCAAAAGACATTATTGATATAGGTTTACAGATGCTACTTACCACCATAACTAGCAAAAACATGAAAAAACTTGAAAACATCAGCAACTGTATAAACACTGATAATAACAAAACTCATAGCATATATATATAGCAAAACTCATAGCTTGTAGTGCATTCAGTCAAAAACCACAAAATTTGAAATGCCATTGTGATTGGATTGTGGATATATTGATACCTGAGACCTGGGTTTACAAAATGTGTTTCTGTTGCTATAACTCTATAGAGATATTTTCATAAAATCATGTTTCTGATCAAATCGAGGGTCCTGTTGGTGTCACCAACCCTGTGCAGTCCCCCCTCCCTGCCTTCCTCCTGGGGGCTGTCAGTGGCCGTAAAACAACACGGTGACAACAAGTTCTGATTCAACATTTGATACAATGACAGCCCCTGCCAACCAATGACTCAGATACCAGATCCAATGCTCCCGAGCTTCTCTTCATCTCTTTTATGCATGCGGAACAACGGCAATTATGTTGTCCCCTTCAATGTTAAACTACTTTACAGATTTATGATGATTGGATTAGGATTTTAATATAAACTTGGAGAATGATAGAGAATTACTAATATACAGATAGAGAGGAATCTTATCCTACTGCTGTCGCCAAATGTGCATTGCAGATTTACCTGGCACGGAAAGATAAACTACTGGAACTTCTCTCTAGTCTCCGTTTTGTTCATGATAAGTAGTATTAAGCCTTGTTTCTTAGCATTGACAATATTCTTGTTTGTGTATTGATTTAGTCCCTGCCCCTATTTTTGAAGACCCTCCCCTTCCCTCTTTTACCATTTCTAAGAGCAGAAACCAGCATGGACCGAAGGAGAGACTCTGGGAGTGGAGGGCTTGACTCTTGCTGTAAAATCAGTTACAAATCCAAGAGATCCTTGAATCAGTGGAATAAATGAATAGAACTCCGGTGACCATTGAGTGGTGATTGGCAACAAGAAACATTAAACATAGCAAAATAAGTTATAAGTATTTCTGTGTCTTCATGATTTTTCTGAGCTTCAGATTTTCTATGTGGAAGCAACAGAACTCAAATGTATAGATTCCAGTTTCTGAGACAAATGTTGAAAAGAAATGGAAAGCTTTTCAATCTAATCAGTGATTGTTTTTGGTAGTTAGAAAATTGAGAAATATATTTATTAACATGTAACCACACAAGAAAATATTTATATCATTGTTAGGTGCTACCCAGTCAGTCTGACCCATCGGGTCCACATGTCCAATGGAACAAAACAATGCCCGGTTCTGTGCCGTCTTCATACTTGCTGTTTGTGGCCATTGGTGTAGCCGTGGCATCAGCCTGTCTTCTGCAGCGTCTTCCTCTTTCCCGCTGCTCTTCCACGGTCCAGCATGATGTCCTTGTCTGAGGACCGCTCTCTCTTGATAACATGCCCAAGGAATGTGAGACGGAGTGTTGTCATCCTTACTTCTAAGGAACATCCTGTAGTTCCTCCAAGACATTGATACTATAGGACACATGAAAAACTAGATTGCTACCTTTTAAATGTCTTAAAATAACAACAATAATAATAATAACTCCAGTGTCTTGCTCTGTGGAGTCGATTCCAACTCATAGCACCCTATATGGCAGAATAGAACTGACCCGTGGATTTCCAAAACTGTGGGGAGGAGAAAATCGCATCTTTTTCTGTGCATTTCAACTGTAAAAATGTATAATAAAAACATATGTAAATGTGTCAATAACAGTATTTGGCTCTAAGTGGCAGGGGTGATTGGTTGATTCCTGATTTTATATTTCATGTAATTTTCAAATCTTTTTAGAGTTAATCTATATTGCCTTAATAATCTAAAAACTTTCTGAAATATTATTCATGAATTCAAGCTCATCTTTTCTCTGTTGTTGAAGAATTTAGTTTAAAATCCTATTATTTAGCTAGTACAAATTGAATAGTTTCACCACTTGACTTTCAAATTAGCATGGGTAGTAATATTGATTTGAGATACTTCTTATTTCACAATTACAACTGTGTTTTACATAACATTGTATAGTGTTTCCGGAAGTTAAATTCAATTAGTGCCTTTAATTATTGTTTTGAACTTAGCTCTCTCATTGATTACCACCACATGATTTATAACCATTATTTGCCCACAACAATAAAAGTAATGATTATAACAATATACATATTTTAGATTTTTTTACTACTGGCTGCAGTAGCACCGGACTGACTTCAAAAATGCCTAATGATTTCAAGACATTAAAATGAAACTCAGTGGTTGAACCTTATTATTCCTGTCACATTCATTTTCCAGATTTTATTTTTCTTCTTTACTTAAGAAATGTGGGCTGCATAATCTGTGGTCAATTTGCTTACTCAATTCCTCTGAATTCCATTGCATGGATGAGGAATCAGAAGCAAAGAAGTTAATTAATTTCCAAACGCCCATCTGTGCCTTTGTTGAGCGTTTCTAGAGAGCATTCCATAGGCATGCTCTTTGTTCTTTGTGACTCTATATGTTCATATAGGCTAACCAAACTGATTACATTGCATATTCAAATGTCGGGCTTTATACCTTGTATGGATACACACAGCATTTTAACCCTAAATAAAGCCTTAGGCTTAAAGACAAATAAATACATACCATATATAACATGAATTTCCCCCCAGAATTTCACCTTAATCTTGAAGGAAGGTGCTTTTTCGTTCTTTGCTTCCTTTCCCCTTTAACCGAATTCATTGCCGAAATAAAAATTTAACGTGTGGTGTGTGTGTGTGTGTGTGTGTTTTCACTCCTTTTTAACAAAATGCGTGGCCCAACTCCTAATTTCCCTAACGTGTTTTCTCATTCGTCGTTCCAGCCAGCCAAGCCAGGGACCTGTTGTCCAAGATGCTAGTGATCGATCCAGCGAAAAGGATATCGGTGGACGAGGCCCTACAGCACCCCTACATCAACGTCTGGTACGACCCGGCCGAAGTGGAGGCGGTAAGCCGGGGCCTGTGTGACTCTCCTTCCGCAGACCAAAATAGCACCTGGTGCTCGGTGGTGAACGCGGAAAGAGAACTAGAACCCAAAGAGGACAGTTGTTACTAGTCCCTTCCAAAGCGATTGCCTTTGACCTTGGATGCTGCGTGCACTTCCCCCCAAGCGTTTCCATAGGAGGGGGGAATTTGGTGCAATCATCTTACACGCTTGTGAAACACTTTCACTGGCTTTTATCAAATGGTTAACACCAATACCATCACCTTCTCGACGTGTAACGTGCAAACCGAAATCTTGATGCACACTTCAAGCACGGTGCCTCACGGCAGAGAACCGGCGCGCCTGGTGGAGACCGTACTTTGCCAGCCCTTGCAGGCAGCAGAGGGGGAGGAAGAGGGTGTTCTGAATGGGTCACCTCCATAAGATGTATTCACGGATAATATAAGAACATTTACATATGCAGTTGTTTTCTTTTCCTTTTTTAAAAACCATGTTAAATGATTGACACGCAGAGGTCTCTCTAGTCTCTCCCTTGTGTCGCTGCTCCTCCGTTTTTCTCTGTCGGAGCAGTGCTGAGCAGGGCCATCCAGCGGTGGTCGCATCTGTAGGCCTTCCTTGGGGGGCTTTTCTTGGGTGCTTCTCTGCATTGTTAGTGTCAGCAATGTAAGCCGTGTCCTGTGAGCATCGAAATCTCTTCAAGTTCTTAGAATTATTTTGCCAAATAACTTCATTTTCTTTTCAACAGAACCTCCAGGAAATCATTGGAATTTGTCCTTAATCTACTATTTGAAATAATCCATTTTGGTTGCTTGCTTGCTCTTCTTAGTCCTGTCTCTCCGTGTGTGTGTGCGCGCGCTGTATCGCAGTTTCCTTTCCTCGGCTAAGTGGTTGGGTTTGTCTGCTGTCCATGTCAGAGATGCTGGACTGAGTTTATCGTTTCTTATTGCTCTGTACCACGCTAGAGAAGTCGGAGCTCAAAGATGCTAGGGACAAACTTGTCCAGCTGAATTTTGTAATGTTTGAAGGAAACCCTGCTCTGTCCTGCACTGTGCTCAAAATTTTTGTTAGGTTTGAGCTCATTGTGGCAGCCATACTGTTTATTGAACTTTATAAGAATGATATTCAACAATGTAGTTTTCATAATGCAACCCAATCTTTAAGCATATGAAAATATCAATGAAAACATCTTGGTGATAAATGAGTCTCTCAAGTGTTGGAATGAAGATGTACCTGTCCTTAAACCATTTTCGTTAATATCTGCCCTCATAAGGAACTTTGCAAGGAGGCTGAAATTTCTATTTGCTATAAATTAATTTCTCTTCACTTAATTTGATTCCTATAAAATATAATCCTTAAAATTAAACTCTCCTCACTTTGATTTTGATGTTAAAATTAGTGTATGTTCATGTTTCTAATTTTTAAATCTCTTTTAGTTTGATCTCTTGGGAAATATTCTCAGAGATGTTCTTCATAAATTAATTTAGAATAGAATGTAGCACTAAAATAAGTAAGAGGAAAATATGATGCATATGTATATGAGTAAATTATGTAAAAGAAAATTTGCCCTAATTAAATCCAAGAAAATATTTTAGGGCATGTTGGTAAAAAAATTTTAGACAAATTATTTAAAATTGTTGCTTCTTATTTATTTTGGTAGCTTAAATCATGTTGTATATTTATTTTCCTTACATCTATTTTAATGTATGTAATCTGTTTTTAATGGATTGTGGCCTAGAGTTTAATTGGAGTCATAAAGCCTACATTTGTAATTCATTTGTAATTATGTTGCCTATAAAAGGCACAGTTGCTTAGACTCCATAATAACATATTAATAGATGGTAGCAACAAGTTTTTAAAACATATCTTAACTTTATATAGGAAGTACCCTTGAAAGATGAAAAAGATAAAATCTAGAGTAATGTCTAAAGTTCTCTCTCAATCATTTCAATTTGCCATGCCTCAGCATAGATAGCAACCAGACAGTCCATGTGGCTTTTAGATAAAGATCTCATCATGGAATGTAAAGGTTTAGGGGAAAAGACCAGTTAATGCACAGAAGAAGAGAGAGTCTTTGTCACCTATACTAAGATCACTGGTTTACAAGGGTAAAATGTTTTATGTCTTAAAGTGTGGTCATGAACAGGTTTGAATCCTAAGCCTAGGTCAAGGTCAGTCTGTTTCTTCTGTAGCTGTGTTGCAGAGGGAGAAGATCCTAACTGTTCAGGAAGCGGTCAGCTGTGCTTCCTGACATACCTTTGGGATTTGTTTTTTCGCTCTTGTGTGAGAATATGCTAAGTTTTATGATCTTTAAAGTAAAGTGGCCTTTCTGGATGAATACATGGCAAAGTTATCATGAAGCAATATGCCTTCCACCTCGGCTGTCCAGATTTTCTTGCCAAATAAACTCCTATCTGTCTCAAAGTCAAACAAGTGAAAGTATCAAATAATCAGCAGATAGTATGGCGGGGTGTGGAGGGAGAAAGATAGAGTGATGGACAGGGAGAGACAGAAAGGTGCACAACATCAAAACTGACGGGAAATATCAAAAAGAAGCCAGTTAACGATATATGGTGTCAGTAAAAATACTTCCTTATCCAATTCTTTTTAAACTTTTTATTATGATTTAAGTGAAAGTTTATACCGCGGATCATCAATTTTATATTCAATAATTTATAGTCATTTTGTTTCAAATCATCCCTTTCCATCCCCTTTATCCCACTTTCCCCAAGCAGGATCTCTTGCCATTCCTCCTCTTTTCCCTGCACTCTTTCCTTGGGTCAATGCTACCAGTTTGATCTGATTGTCACATGGGGGTGAGTTCAGTTTAAGACCTGAAGGGTGACTAAGGGCCATAGTCTTGGAATACTACCAATCTCTATCCAACCACGAACCCGCAACTCTTTTATGACTTTGAGTTCCACTCCACATTTTCTTCTCACTCTATCTAGTATCTTCTGATGTGATACTTTGAAGAGCAGGTGGCAGTGGTAGCAGGGCACCATCTAGCTTTTCTGCACACAAGGTTGGGGAGACTGATGGCCCATTAGTCCACTGGAGTAGTTCCTGTCATGTGCCTTTCCATTTTCCACACTCTCCTTTCCTCTAGATGGGGAGAGACCAGGAAGTGCATCTTCGATAGAAATGTATAACCTTATAAGACATTAGTCGTGACTCATTGAGGAGGAATGTGGAACATTATCTTTGGGAAGCATGCTATGCCAATTGACCTAGACGTCCCTTGAGCTATGGACTCGAGGCCCTAGAGGGAGCGACTCGTTATGTCTAGGAAGTTCACTCACTGTATGCTCTATCACACTTGTTGATATATTTGCCGCAAAGCTAATATACATATATGGATATCTTGTCCAAACTATATGTATTTGTGTGCATATGCATACTCTCCCTCTCATGCCTCGTTAGCCTGTGCCTATCCAGGCATCTATCCATAGGCCATCACTCTGAAAAGACTGTGATGTGACAATATTTACCTCTATTTCTGTTAAATTTTGCAAACCTCCCACTATCTTACCTTGCCTCCATCACTTTTTTCTGTTAGTGCATATTGCCTTCCCCTTCCTCCAAGTAAATACTGAAAACCCTCTAATCATTTACTTCCTCTCACCTTCCCACCATGCATAACCATCAGAAAAAGTTTTTTTCTTTTTCTTTCTTCCTTCCTTCCTTCCTTCTTTCCTTCCTTCCTTCCTGTTTCTTGGTAGTGTAAGAGAATTTTATACAAAAATCATTAAAATGTATAGCCAAGACATTTATAATGAATATGAAACACATTAATATGGTGTATCAACTTTAGCATCTAATTTTATACAGTAAAGCAAAATAGATCATAGAGGATAATTTTTGTAGCAATATGTTGAAATATCATCACTGAACACAAGCAAGCAAGAATATGCAAGGTTTCAGCAAAGTTTCCATTTTGTACTGGACTGATTTCCCTCAGCATCATGTCTGCTCTCCAGGTCCATCCACAACATGTGGCATTTACAAATTAATCGTTAATGTTTGACATAATATAGTAGTATCCCACAGTTTGTCTGTGGAAACGCTTATTTGTCCATTCTGCCACTGCTGGGCTTTGGGTTGTTTGCCTCTTTTGACTAGTGTGAGTAATGCTGTGGTGAAAATGGATGTGTATATGTCTATTTATTTGCAGTGTTATTTCTCCATGCTTACCAAATAGAGGGACTCCTGGATCATCTGGTATTTCTACTTCCAACTTTTCTGAGGAATGACTTCCCACCGAGGTTGCACCATTTTGCAGTCTCACCAGCCATGCATGATGGTACCATTCTTTCTGTAACCTCACAAGCATTTGATGTTTTCTGTTTTCTTGGGTGTTTTTTTGGTTTTGTTTTAAATAACTGGACTATTAATGGTGAGGTGAGGAGATATTTCATTGTTATTTTGATTTTCGTCTCTTACATGACTGTTAGTCTAGGTAAACTAGAGAAACAAATCCATAGATACTCATATATGTATAAGAGAGAGTTTTATATATAAGCTAAGTGTACATTCAGAAAGCAGTCCAACTTAGCCCATATGTCCGACACCAATCTACAAAGTCCTCCTCCAACTCATGAAATGCACACAATGACACGGAAGGCAGGAGGATCACAGGCCAGTGGGTAGAAAGTCTTTGAATCCAGTGGTGGTGTCAGCATCTCAGTGCCGGCAGGGGTCTCCATGTGGCTTCTTCAGCACCCAGGGCGGCATCAGGCTAAGTCTATGTGGCTTCTCCTCAGGGATGTTTTACGGGAAGTGAGCCTTGCCAGCTGAAGCATGGAACTGGCTAAGGCAGCTCTCCCTTGGTCCGACTATCAGAAAGCAAGAGACCTGAGAACTAGGAAGGCGAGGCTCACTGAGCCATTTATCCCTCCGCCCTTCAATTAATCCCACACATGTTTATTGGCCAGTTTGGCACAATAAACCTTAACTATCTCAATCCACCCTTTGCCAACTTGGCACCTATCCACAATTCTTTAGCC